ACAACGTGACATTAGCCGGAGATATGGATGTTATGATAAATATACTGAAATGTATCCAGCTATCCAGACTCATTCTCATATAAGCATAAAGTCTGTCTCAGTGGTGTTTCTTAAGCTCTTTAAATAGGTGATAGTATTCTCCTAGATACTGCCTTTTTTTATTTATAGGATGAGCCGAAAACTGGCGATTTAAAGAATTTCAAATGATCCATTGCTTTTTACTTGACAACATACATTCACTGTCATCACTACTGTTGCTTATGTATATAATTGTATAATGTAAAGGAGCTAACTTTTCCGGAATACATATCAGTCATCTCAAAAACCGCAACGAACACTGAAAGGAAGGTATCTTCATATATTTTGCCCGTCATCGATGTAGACCACGATCTCCACCGCGCACATCCATGTATCTTCGGAATCCCGACAGTTTCAAAACGACAGTATCGAAACTACTTATACAACTCTTTTATATATAAAAGGTTTATCCGAACATTTAACAAATCTTTTGGCCAAACATAACATAACAGCGGCCCACAAAGGCAACAACCTTTTAAATAAATATTTCACTAAACTAAAAACACAAACTCCAAAACTCAAAAAATCACATGTTGTTTACGAGATAACATGTATATACTGTCAAGGTGTCTATATCGGACAAACCAGTCAACTGCTTCAATCCAGAATTCGTTCTCACAAATACGACAAGAACAACGTCACTGCACTCACAAAACATGAAAATGAGAAGAAGCATAAATTTGGATAAACGACTGGAATGACTTAAAAAGTCCCCAACGATGATAGTTGGGGTCGTGACCAGCAAAATTATTGATGATCCAAGCAATTCAGATCTTTCATTTACAATTTCGGGCTTAAATATCCGAAACTCTGAGTTTCCTTAGTCGTATCCAAGTTTTCTCTTCCACACAGATTTTCTCGTACATAATTAAGGCTAATTAGAAATTTTTTAAATATACGAAAAAAAGTGTTAAGACAGACGAAGATCAAGTAGTAAATTTTCATCGAGGTATTATCATATAGATATGAGACCTTTCCTTACAAAACAACCAATCTCCACTTTTTGGACAATCTGATCAATGGAGAAAATTAGTTGTGGTTTCATAATGACCATTCTCCAAGGTCATTTAGGTTTCAAAACAACCAATATCCCTCTTCACCAATCAAAGCGCTAGATTATTACGTGGTCGGTGATTTTTAAGATGACGGTCATACTAGCGGTTTGTTTGCAGGAAGCAATAACACCAACCCATTGGTATAACGCAGAAATTATCATACTTCATAAAAAAGGGGATGCTACCGACCTCAGTAATTACAGGCCCATAAGTCTACTTTCACATATTTATAAACTATTTACAAAAATAATTACGAAACGACTAGAAAATAAATTGGAATTTTATTAGCCCATAGAACAGGCGGGTTTTAAAAAAAGCTATGGAACAAACGATCACCTACTGGTAATAAAAAATCTTATAGAAAAATGCACTGAATATAATAAACCACTAGCTTTCGGGGCATTCGATACCGTAAATCAACAAAAAATGTTGGAAGCCTTGACAGGATGCCGAATTGAGTTTCGGTATATAAATATAATTAAACACATATACCAAAACGCAACAGCCAGTGTTAGAGTGGGTGACCGTCAAACTCAGAAATTCCCGATACAACGTGGAGTACGTCAGGGGGACACCATCTCGCCGAAACTGTTCACTACGCTTTTGGGATATATATGTAAAAGGGTAAAACTGACCGACAAGGGCATAAACATAAACGGAGAAAAGCTTAGCCATCTAAGGTTTGCAGATGATATTGTACTAATAGCTGATAGGATAGATAAGGCCAAAGAACTTTTAAATTAGCTATACCTTTCCTCGCTAGAAGATTGAAAATAAATATATCTAAAACCCAGATGATGACAAATCTTGTAGTCAGTGAAGATATATGCGTAGGAACAAGATCCATAGACCAGGTAATGTCCTATAAATACCTAGGTCATGAGATTCGCATAAGAAAAGATAACCAAACCGTTGAGCTTCTCCGTCGTTTAAAACTTCGGGCAAGCTGAACCATATTTTCAAATCGTCTGATATACCAATATGCCTTAAAAGAAAAACCTTTAATGAGTGTGTTTTGGAAGTGTTGACTTACGGTGCGAAAACGTTGACCATGACAAGGGGAACAGTTCAAAAAATCCGTGTGTGTCAAAGGGCGATGAAGCATGCTATGTTGGGCGTTTCACTACGAGACAAGATCCCAAATCGCCAGCTACGACAAAGAACATGAGTGACTGATGCAGTAGAGTAGCAACACTGAAATGGAACTGTGCAGGTCACGTGGCTCGAATGACAGATAATAGATGAACAAAGAGGATACTGGAATGGAGACCAAGAAATGATGCCTACCGAAGCACCAACACGTTGGACTGACGATCTAAAACGTTGTCATAGGAATTGGATGCAAGAGGCACAAAATCGAAATAGATTAAACATTATGAGGGAGATCTATGTCCAGCAGTGGATAAGCGAAGATTGAATGATGATGGTCATACTAGTGTCAAAGCTGAGAAAAGAATGATTATTCTCTAAAGTTTTTGCAATTTAGTAATAAATGGAGACAAAATTAGAAGTATTAACGCCCACAAGGTGTAGAAAAAGAGTCTCACAGGCAGAGAAATGGGCGAGAGATGTGAGAAAACAGCTGAGGTAGTATACTTTTAGATATATATAGGAAAAAAAGTCATCTATCCTGAGTGCAACATGCTTGGCAGTTTTATTAAAATGTATATAATTACTAGATATCTAAAGTAGAATGTGAATTTAATTTATTTGTAGGTACGGGAAAACAAAGGCGCCTAAAATGCCAACATGCAAGCATGACGGGAGAGCCTGCCACTGCACAAAACTCAATATTGCGGATGTGGTGGAATTTTCTAAAGCTTTCCATAAATATGAAGAGAAAGTTAAACAAGACACCTTCATAATGCAATTCCTAGAACCCTGTTTGCAGACGTCGCCCAAAAACTGGAGTCAATCGTAATAAGAGGGCTACATGCAATTATTTCATAAAAGGTCCAGATGGCAAGTTACCCATTTGCCAAAAGGCTTTCACTAATGCCTTAAGAATCACAAGGGGCCGACTCCGAACTATAATAAACAATTTTAGAAGGGAAAGTAATTTTCCATGTGAGAAAAGAGGAGGAGACAAACGAACGCATTTATATAAAGAGAAACTGAGGAGCATGGTCGAATTTATTAAAAGTATAAAATGCGCGGAGTCTCATTACTGTAGGGGTCGAAGTGAGCGTAAGTATGCATTAGGTGATCTGAGTATTAATAAATTTTGAAAATTTACAATGCTCAAGCCAAACCAAAGACACGGGTAAAAAAGGGATATTTTCGAATAATTTTTATTAGAAAATTCAACATTTCATTTAAGGTGCCACATACGGACATGTGTTCGACATGTCACTTACTAAAATAATCTCAAAAGAAACGACACCATCGATGAAGCAATCCCTCACAGAATTCACAAGCTTGGATCGAAAGCCTTTTTTGCATTATTGAAGGAATCTAACCCTGAACTATTGACTTTATCCTTCGACTTGCAAAAAAATCTTCCGCTGCTTAAAGTCCCGAATAAAGCAGCGTTACAGCAGACAACTATACGTACATAACTTTACAATCGTAGTGGGACATTCTAAGGTCCCATTAAGGAAGGAAAATTGGTTTATCTATGTATGGTCAAAGGGTGAGTATGGCAAGGGCTCTAATCAAGTGGCCTCGGCAATGTATCACAGGCTGTCTAATACTGATTTAAAAGATATCGGAGTCGTAAGATTAATTTGTGACGGATGTGGAGGCCAGAATAAAAACCAAATAATTTTATCCATGGTAAGTCGCTGACTGATACAAGCTCCAAAAGAACATAAAAGACCCACCCAGGTTTGTAGCGCTACGTAATGATGATGATGATGAAGTTATTCCGACACCTGAAGACTATTTTAAAATAATACCTGAAAGTACAACTTTGCAGCCCCCAATATAGATTTCAAGTTCTACGATTGGAAAACCGAAGCATTGTCTACATTCAAAGCAGAGTTGGCACTTTTAGATATCAAAAATAAACAGGATTTGTTTGGCAAGATCAAGAAAACAAACTAACGTCGTATTGGTTAAAGGGGACGAAAGCTACAACTCAAGCATCAGTTTGTTTAGAAGTATTAAAAAAAAAGGAAGATCGACCATTAACCTCAAATCAAATGAAATAGGAGTCGGGAACTTGGCCAACATTAGCAAGGTGAAATTGAAGGACGTAAGGAAGCTACTGGACAATCACTACGGCAAAGAATGGCAAAATGGTCCGAAACTGGCTTATTTCAAAAACGTCCTACAATACTAAAATGTTCCAAGCGTCCCTAAAGACGACCACCTTTATTGCGAACCACTCGATAATGACAACGACGAAGAAGTCTTAACAGTATAGAATTTGGGTATTAATAATTCTGTTAATGTATTAAGTACTGTTACTAAACATTTGTGTTTTTGCTACAAAATAACGAATCTTCTGGTCTGTTCATTTCAAAATAGCCAATATCCACTTGAAGAATAATATAGAGAAGAATAAAGAAGAAAGAAACTAGTAACGAAAAACTAATTTTGAGCGATAAAAGTTTATTATTTACGGCAATTTTGCCATGGTGGAAATTGGTTGTTTTGCAAATAGAGGTCTTATATGTAAGCTACAAATGCGGATTTATGAAAGTGGGAAAGTTACGTAGATAAGAAAAGAGATACTCCTACGCAGTACATTAAGCAAAACATATTCTTAAATTCTTGATTTGAAATATTTTAAAATTATTAAAGTACTAATATATATGTATCTATGTAAACGTTTGTAGTAAAAATTGTTAAAATTCATAGATATATTTATTTTTAGTTACTTAATGATAGATTATTTTGATAATTAGGTAAACGTATATTTACCATCAATAGGAAAAATCTCCTCCTTTTTCTCCCCCCAATTTGACTGAATTGGTCCCTCTTCGTCACTCTGAACAGCTGAATCAGAGCTGCCGCTTCGTCTCTCGATCTTTCTCCAATTTTTTTCGCGCTCATCGTCACTAGCCCCGGAAGCTGTCGAACTACTATACCCACTGGACGGTGGTACCAGTAATTCCGATTTTTCATTCAAAATTTCTGGCTTTTCATCCGATATTTCCGAATTTTCGTCGCGGCTCTCTGACACTCGCGAGAGTTGTTTCGAAGTTTTCTCTAACATCGCGATGTAATTTTCCCGTAGCAGCTTGACACTTTTAAACTCGGTAGGTTCCGGTAACATTCCTTCAATTTCATAAACACCCCGTCTTCTTTGCCTCGGTTTTGTGGTAGTAGACCCCGTACTACTCCGCTCAGGTAATTCTGTCGTCACCGGTTCGTTCAACGCCGCGATCGGTACCTCTACTTCCATCGTATGGTCGGAAGGCGAACTACTGGATTTTGTAATGTCGGTACCTACTAGCGAATTGTAATAGTCGCGGTGCTTTTCAGCTTTCTCGCGGAGGATTTCTCGCAAGTCGTTCTCCATGTTGTCGCTGACGATTTGTTGGAAGTAGCTCTCTTCACTAAATAATAGTTCTTTGGGGGTTGTGGGAGGAAGATTGGATGAGTGCACCCCGCCGAAAATCCAGGGTGTAGATAAATCACCCTCGCGAAGTCGGCGGGACCAAAAGCCACTAAAGCTGAAAAAGAAACAAAAATATTAATCATTAAAAGGAAACTAAAATTGAGTGATAATAATTTATTTAATATTTAACATAAAAAACAGTAGATGCATTTAATTTTATATTTTGTATTATTTTAAAATTAAATTATTTGAAACTTATGTTGGTCGATTATGCATGTCTGTTATTTAATATACAGTTTGTAAAGTATGAACTAAATTCGATATTTCCTAAAAGAAAAGACTTTTTAAAAAATCTAAGGGGTCGAATAAACGTCAAATCAAAAGGCGCCTATTTTGAAGGTCTTACAAAAAATATTAATTTTAAAGTTTTTTTCTTCACTTTTACGGTATCACTTGCAGTGGTAAAGACACATTAAACTAGTGGTCTCTAAGAAAGTGTATATTTCGTGTGTAGGAAGTGAAATCTCAAAAAAATCAACATGGAAGAAATTATCATGGAAGAAAAATCAAACAAATATATGGTGTAAACGATGACGCAAATCTAGCAGAAAAAGATCACTTTTATGACCTACTAGACGAAACCCTTATAAAAGTGGGAAACCAGAGAGAAATAGTACTTCTGGGGGATTATAACTCGAGAGTAGGAAAAAAGAAGAAAGATCCTGTAATCGGAATATATGGTGAAGAGGCTGAAAATGATAATGGTAGACGACTACTTGAATTATGCCAACAACACCAGCTAAGAATATGGAACGGTTATTTCAAACATAGAGATATACATAAATACACTTGGCACCAAGATACTAGAAACATTAAATCTATTATCGACTATGTCATTACAAAACAAAACACTAAATTAAACATCCAGGACACTAGGGCTTACAGGGGTAAGGAATGTGGATCTGACCATTATTTGGTTGCGGCTAAGACTCTGATTCCATTTAACCGACACGTTGAAAACATCAACACTCCAAAAGGAACTGATATAAATCTGAAGAGATATAATGTCAGAAGCCTACAAGAATATAGCACTAAAATCTTATACCAAAATAGATTAAATGAAAAACTACTCGAGGAATACCTAACTGCTGAAACCAACCAACTATCTTCTTCTTCATGTGCCTTGTCCGTTCCGAACGTTGGCAATCAACATGGCTATTCTGACTTTGCTTACGGCAGATTTGAATAGTTCAGCAGATGACAATCCGAACCATTGCCTCAAGTTTTGGAGCCACGAGTGTCTTCTCCTCCCTGGACCCCTTCTGCTGTCTATTTTTCCTTGAACGATCAGCTGTAGTACTCTATATTTATTATGTCTCATAACGTGACGCAAGTATTCCAACTTTCTTTTCTTTATACTTATTCCTACCTCTCTCCCTTTACCTATCCGGCGTAGTACCTCTTCGTTGGTCACGTGCTCAGTCCAGGATATACGTAATATACGTCGGCAAGCCCACATTTTAAAGGCCTCCACTCTTTTCATCAATGTTGCGGTCATTGTCCACGCCTCCATTCCATATAACAAAAACGGGAATACATGGCAACCAACTATACGAACATATAACTAACTGTATTCACCACGCAGCCCAAGAAGCTTTAGGCGAAGAAACCAGAACAGTCCCCAGATCAGCGGGAAAAATCACTTGGAATACACAGCTTGAAGAGTAAAGAAATAAGAAACAGGAAGCGTACAAAAGATGGCTGAACACTAAGAATCTTGAAGATAAAGAAATATACAAAGAACAGTAAAGAATATTTAAAGATATGACAAGGAACAACAAAAATGTAAGTGCCAATGATGAGTAACACGTTTCACTATTAGATTACAGTATTTTTTAGCAATTTTCTTCAAAGTTTGAACACGCTTTTCTCGAATTACTGGACACAGAAAGGTGGAAAAAAATCAAGGATTACGGAAAAAAAAAACTCTTTCAACTGATGGACGTAAAAAGTTTGGTTATAATAGAACGTTAAACTGCATAATCCGGTATTTCAAAAGAACTTTCAAAAAAAATTAAAAAGTAAAACTACCAGTTTAAAGGCAACATAATTTTGAATAAGGTGTCCAAATTTCGAGACATTTTGTCGGTAAATAACAGAAAAAACACTATCTCTAGGTTTTGGTGTACCGATAAAACAGCCTTAAATGGGGAAGAAATCCCGAATACTTAGAAAGAAGCATGGATTACTCCAATTCACAAAAAAAGGTCCAAAAGATATTTGCGGAAACTACAGATGTATCTCTGTCACCAGTACCTTTAGCAGGCTGTTTGGTAAAATCTTAAAGAACATGATTGAGAAAGAATACGAACCTCATAAAATTGAACAGCAAGCAGGATTTAGAGCTGGAAGATCTTGCGTAAATCACATATTTACCCTAACACAACTGAATGAAAAGAAAGTTGCAAGAAACCAGGAAATACATCTTTTATTTATGGATCTCACAAAAGCATATGACACGATTTCTGTGAGAAAGCTGTGGCAGTCTCTTGAACGATCTCCATTAAATAGCGCGATCATCGCCGCAGTCAAACAATTATACAATAAAGCATCATCAAAAATCAAACTAAACAACACCTTATCATAATACAACATAATATTTTGGACTGTTCTCTTATATCCAATAAGGTAAAGATTTTTTTTAATTCGCTGTATTCTTTGACCGATGTCCACCATCTCATTAATTTAAATTATTTATTAACATTAGAAAACAATGAGTTTTTATATATAAATTATTGTATAAAAATGTTTAAGATATTAAACTCAAATTTTAATTATAAATATAGAGTTAGTATTTCTTTGTAATTTGTAAGAAAAAAAAATTTTAAAAAGAACTAATAAAAAAAGAAAATTTCATCAAAAGCAAGTAGAACATCTAATGTTGTATCATAATTTACAGAGGGACGACCTGATTTGCGTGCATTTTCAACCGTACCAGTTTCTCAAAATTGCTTAGCAATCTTACTTACTGTTGACTGCGTTATGGGTCTTTCTGGATATCTATCATTAAATAAATTACACACTTTTGAGTTCGCGATTTTTCTCCATACCCAATTTTTAAGAGTATTTCAATTCTTTGCTTTACACTTATTATTATTTACATTTATTTGGTCATTAGAAAATCGTTGCATTCCAGAAAATCTCCTATAGGAACCACAGAAACGGCCACAGGTATCGAGTTCAACATGATTACCAAATGGTCCCATAAATGGTCGGAAGTTCAACCAAATACAATTATACCTTGCATCACACGAGACCTCCTGTATTTGACCTACCACATAAAACCTGGTGAACACCGAAGCACTTCAAAAGTCAACATAGTCGATGTGCAGCTATGTTGCATAGGTGGGGTAAGCTACTATCCCCGTCATGCAGCTGTGGCGAGATCCAATACATCATGCTTAATGGTCCATAACAGAAGAGTACCACCAGCGGACCTATGAGGGCAGTTTACGATACCCGAGTTGATTAACTACATAAATAATACAAAGGCCTTAAGCTATCTTTACTAGAATATATGAAAATTAATAAATTAAAAGGCGATACCTACTTTTAACACGCGGATTTCATATAAAAACGACAATTAAAAATCTAATTTGAGAAGATGATGGGTTTCACGGTTGAAGAAGCTTTTTTGAAATGGGAATTTAACGAATCGTAAGTAAATTTAAACTAACGTAGATGATTTTTATTTTTGACGCTATATCGGAAACTGGAGATGAATAGAAATTAAAAATGTTTTGTACTTACATATTTAAGAGTGACAAAAAAATCTAACCACAACTTCGCAATTTAAAATTTTTACTGAACGTGCTCATTGGTTCTGTCGCATAGCAATATTGTAGTCCAGATATTTTTTTAATTGTAATATATTGCCGTTTTTATTAATCCGTCTAGTAGAAAAACTTAAATCGCAATGTTTAAATGGTTCCAATAATTATTTCAGTTTATTATGAGTTTATTGGTAAATGAAAAAATGGCCATAAAAATTAAAGAAGGTTATAAAACTCAAATGGGATAATTGTTCACATAAAAAGTGGCACTATATTCATAAAATTGCTAAATAGATTATTTATTTTCACGGATAACATACAGTGGTGATCAATTATTAGACATATACAGAAAAATGGGACTTCTTTAGAGTTTATAATTGTATGTATCCTAATTCCTGATATTCCTGTATCCAATGAAGATACATTAAGCGAAACTATAGTCCAGGATGTGATGCATACAAGTACAACAACACATACAACCCATACAAAAAGACCACTAGCGAAACCCCCGAAGAAGTGGTAAGACATCTAGACAGTAACATCACCTTCAAGGAGAAGAAGAAACAGTTTATAATTTAGAAGATTTAATACGGATTTACGAGATAAAAAAAAGAATATGCGTGGCTAACCGCTGTTATTTTGGCCTGGGCCCTCAACTAAGAGCGAGAAGTATGTCAATGAGCAACAAAGTGCAAACTTTATAAAACAATAATACGCCCAGTGCTCACATACGGATCGGAAACATGGGCAATGACGACCCGAGATGAAGAGTTACTACGAGTCTTTGAAAGAAAAGTATTGAGGACCATATATATGGCGGAGTAAACGAACAGGGTCTGTGGAGAAGGCGATATAACTTTGAACTCTATAGACTTTTTGGTGATGCAGATATTGTGAAGACCATCAAAATAAACCGCCTAAGGTGGGTGGGCCACGTTATGTGGATGGATGAGGAGTGATCCCACTAAAATAACTATGCTAAACAGGCCGGTCGGAAGAAGAAGAAGAAGGGGGCGACCTAAACTCAGATATCTGGACGATGTACAGGAAGATCTGAGGGAGATTGGAGTGAGGGGCTGGAGAAGACAGACACTCGATAGGGAAGGATAGAAGAATGTTTTGAAGCAGGCCAAGGCTCACGAAGGGCTGTAGCGCCAACTGATGATGAATACGGATTTACGTATTTTCATGTTATTGTTATTATTTTGTAATTTGTTATTATTATTCGTTTTATGGCTCAATGGTTATTCATCATTATCAAAAAGCCTGTATTTATTTGTTCACTGCTGAACGTAAGCCTCCCGTAAACTTTTCTACCTATATCTATATTGAAGCTTCTTGCATACAATTTGTGGTGATTCGCTTTATATCATCCGTTCATCTAGTCGGTGGTCGTCCTCTGTTTCCATATGCTTCTTATGTTACTCGCCATTCAAGAATCTTTTTTTCCATCGATCATCCGTCAATCTAGCACCATGTCCGGCCCAAGCCCATTTAGCTATAAATAATTTTTCAACTGCATCCGTAGCTCCTGTTCTTCTTCTTATTTATAGGTTTGGTACTTTATCTCTAATGGTAATGCCTAACATTGATCTTTCCATACGTGTTGTGTAAATCTTATTTTATTTATTGTTCCTTTTGACAGAGTTAGTGTTTCTGCACCATATGTGAAGACCGAAAAAACATATTGGTTAAAAAACCTTTTTTTTAAACAAACTGAAGTATTATTGAAAATGTTGTTCAATCTACCAAAGGCCGCCCATGTGAGACCTATCATTCTTTGTATCAGTTATCAATCTGAAAGTTTTCGCTGACTACAAGGTTGGTTATACATTTTGTCTTTGAGGTGTTAATTTTAAGATCAATTGTTTTTGATGCTTCATAGAGCGTTTCAGCATTTTTGTAGCTTCATCAACTTTATCAGATATTATAGCAATGTCATCGGCAAATCTTAGGTGGTTTTAGATCTCTCCATTGATATTAATTTCCATATTATCCTCTGGTACTATTCGCTTGAACATATATTCGATACAACTGTAATGAATATATACAACTGTTATCAATTTCAGGGAGATAGTATCACCCTGTCTAATTTAATGTTCTATTCGGAACTGTTTGGTATATTGGAATCTTCATGAAGTCAGACCCAAGCTGTATCAGTTTCGTAAATACTTTTATTTAAGGCAATATATGGTAGTCAATTGATGACGATGAATATGATTTGGGCCCTAGATGACGTTGGAGTGGATATAATACATCAAATTTGTCAAAGAGTGTGGGAGACAGGTAAATGGCCTGAGGACTGGACACAATCACTATATATTCCCATACATAAAAAGGAGCGAAAGATTTATGTAGAAACTATCGCACAATTGCTCTAATTGCGCATTGCAGTAAGATACTCTTACACATAATTCTCGAGAGGATAAAGCCCTTTTTATTACCTAACATTGCGGAGGAACAAGCAAGTTTCGTCCCAGGACGTGGGTACTAGAGAACAAATTTTAAACGTACGGCAGATTGTAGAAAAATCCAGAGAATTCAACATCACAACATATTTGTGCTTCATAGATTATAGTAAAGCTTTCGATTTGGTCAACTGGAGTAAAATGTGGCAGGTTTTGTCTGAAATGGGAGTCCCTAATCATCTGATACTGCTAATTAAAAGCCTGTACAATAACAATTATGCCAGAGTTAGAATAAATGGGGAACTAACTGACAGTTTCACGGTCACAAAGGGCGTGAGACAAGGCTGCATACTAAGCCCAATTTTATTTAACATCTATGGTGAATGGATAATGGCGGAAAGCTACTGAGGACTGGAACGGTGGCATCACCATTGGCGGGAAGAAGATTTGCAACTTGAGATATGCAGATGATACTACTATCCTCGCTAGTTCTGAAACTGAATTGATTCACCTGCTACAACGGATAGAAGACGTAAGCTTAACGATGGGCCTTAAAATAAACAGGGATAAAACGAGAATCATGATAATTGACAGAGCTAACAACAATCAAATCATCTGGTTAGGATAAACAATATCGCTGTTGTAGATAAATTTGTGTATCTGGGCTCATTAATAAACCAACAAAGGAGGCTGTACTGAAGAAATAAAGCGGCGGTCAGCAATCGCAAAAAGCGCTATGGCAAAATTAACAAAAATTTGGAAAAGCCATGAAATTACTACCGATACAAAAATGAGACTAGTAAGAAGTCTAGTTTTTCCAGTTTTTACTTATGCATCGGAATGCTGGACCCTTACTGAGAAAGACAAAAAGAACATAGATGTATTTGAGATGTACTGCTGGGGACGAATGCTGAGAATCCCATGGGTGGCCCGAAGAACAAATGAATCCATACTGGTCCAGCTAAACATAAAGAAAAGACTAAGAACACAAATAACAGAACAGATAATAAGCTATTTTGGACATGTGCTTCGAAAGAAATGGTCTTGAAAAAACTTACCATCCAGGGAAAAGTAGAAGGCAAAAGAAGTAGAGGTAGATCTCCTACACGATACACGGACCATATTGTTGCTACCATTGGCGCTCCATTGTCAGAATGTGCTAGATTGGCAGAAGATAGAAAAACGTGGAGGAACATTGGAAAAATTACCTAACAGCTTCATGATATCACGATACCTGCATCAGGTTAACGACTAAGAAGAAGAAGATGGTAGTCAATACTCGAAGCATATTATGAGGATCTATAGTATCAAATGCCTTTTCATAATCTAAGACTATGAAAAGGATAGGCTTGTTGTATTCTGTGTCTTAGTAAGAATAAAAGAATTTTTCGTTTGAATTCACAAAACCAAAGCATTCTGTAAATTCAAGTATGTTTGGTTTTATTTGAATTTGCATTGCTTGTATCGCCACTGCCTTACGTTAATGCAATTGATTATAGTAGGAATAATTAAAATAAACCAGAAATTATCTCACTATACAATTCAACAAAAATAGTCGACATGGTAGACCAGCTCATTGCTAACTACAACTGTTCAAAAAGCACAGAGCGATGAATATAGCTGGCATTAATTCAATGGTTATTTTCAATGCAAACGATAACAATAAGAAAAAAGTTAAACGACGTGATTTTCTAAGAAAACTTGCCTTATCCCTTGAGCTTATATATCCCAATTTGAAAATTCGAGTTACTACTACAAATCTGCAAGTTAGCCTCAAATCCCGAATTCGCGAAATTTGTGGTATCATAAATGTAAGTTCTGCAATTCCAGAAAGAAATGAGACAAAGGGTCGTTGTACGTTTTGTATTAGAACAAAGAACAGGTATACTCTCTTTTCATGGATAAAATACAAAAAATTCATGTGCCTTGAACATATTCATTCAATATGTCAGCTTTGCCTAAGTGAAATGTGTCACTAAATCAAGTGAAATGCTTACTTTATCTTTTTGTTAAAAACCGTTTTCCATTTTAATGATATTAGGAATTTTAGTATTTACACAAGATCAAAGAAAATTGTAAACCAAAATGAGAAAAAGATGCTCACTTTGATATTGAAAAAAAGTCACAATTTCCAACAACAAATTATTTTCTCCATGAAAAAATGTTGATAGTTAAAATATTTAAAACTTTTATAGATACAGAAATGATTGAACATGTGATGACTGAGAGCAGAAGGTATGCTTTGTTTCTAAATTATCCTGGCCCCGAAATAACTGCGAATAAAAATGTCTTGGCCAGTTAGATATGATTGATAAAAGTTTGAAGTAACGAGAGAAATAGACAGAGAAAGTTCTCGTGGTTGGGAAATTTAAAGGAATGGTCCTACATAAAAGTACAAAAGTGTTCATTACGTTAGCCCCAAACGACAGAAAGATCAAATAGTGTTTGTTAACATCCGTTGAGTAGAACAAAGAAAAATCCTAGTAATTGAATTAAGGTAAGTCATGCCTACAATGAAGAATAAATGAGTTTTATGAACTCTTTAATGCAATAAACAATATCAACGAAAACCAATGCTTTCATTTCTGAGTATAAATTTGTAACAAAAAAAAACAAAAGCTATTAATTATCAAAAATAGAACTTTAAACACAATTACTTTATATAATTTACTTACAGTATATCATCGATAGCCACCCTTTCAAAATTATTTTCCATATTCTCGGTTAATAAAACACTAAAGCGAAACGTAAATTTATTAACCCACTTGAACTAAGCATTGCACTGGGTTGATTCATTTGGATTTTATAGCAGAATCACACTGATTGCGTTTCCTGCATATACATAAAGTACTGAAGTTTATATTTTACGGCTGTGTGACTTTCAATAGAAAACTCAGTTCATTGTTCAATCGAATAATAAAGATTATAAAAGTGTACGTCAAAAAAACAGATATTTCACAAGTATAATTAAAATGTAATTAAAAAATTTACCGCCAACGGTAGCACTTAGGTTAAAATAGATTCTTTTATGTACTGAGTTCTAAAGATGATAGGACTAGTAGATATCCTTTATCTCAACTGGGAATATACAATGCGTGTCTAAAGTCTGCACACCACCACCAACAACTATTTTTTGAGCCATGAAACTAGATATAATACATTTTTGAGTAAGTGAACTGAGAGACACATTGTTTTTATATTATTTTAGAGGCGTAATAATTTTAGACACATAATAATTCAAAATAGCAAATAGAAGCCATTTTGCAAAATTATTTTAAATAGAGTCATATTACCTCATTTAAAAGTTCTTGTGTCACGTATAATGTAATAAAAGCTTGAGCGGTCATTTTTTTTCAATATTCAAAATTCCGATATGAAGCGTATAAAAGCAAAACCAGACACTTGACATTAAAAAAAATGAGTTATGGTTTCCTTATGTAAATATTGATAGGAATCCGTTTTTCTGACCCTTTTGTTCATAAACAGACATTTGAATGGCATTAATTATTCACAGTTGAAATTTAGCCTTAGATGCAAAAGCAGACATTTGTGTACACTGGTTAGGTGCAGAGGCAGATATTTGCCTTTAAACCAATCCGGATGCGATTTCTTAGTCACGTGCTGTCGTGTTTGGGCTGTTTCGTATTGTCACACTGTACTACAAGTATTTCGTTAATACTTTGTACTCACATTAAGACCAAACGTGGTAAACATACGTTATGGATTAGCTCTCATGAAAACAAACAATAATTGAACATTGTAAACATGAATAACATTATTTAACCAAGTCCAGCTGGTAAAGGGCGAAAACCAATGGTAAATAAGGATCAGTGGAAACGAGAAATAGCAAAAAAACATAGATATGTTCACATTGAAGTTTTTGTTTAACAACTGATCGGATTATATCATTTTACTTTCTTAGGTATTCTCGGCGGTGGGTTTCTGAATTTCCAGGGTGTGCTCATAACACTAAAGTTCATCAACGTGTCTCGCTGACAATGACCGATATCAAAAAATTCAACGAAAGCTTTTATAGCAAACCATCAAAATCCTATCAAGATATGTTTGTATTCAAGCACTGCGTAAGAAATAATCCAAAAAGACCTGGTACGAAAATTAAAGAAAACGTTCTAAATAAACCAAAAATAGTCAGTGAGAAGTACACCATCAACACGTTCCATCAAAGAGGATCAATTCCTGTTTATAGAAAAACATTCGTAACGATACTGGGTATTGGAAAAAAACGAATTGAAAGGATATTAAAGAAGTATCATAAAACAGAGATTTGCCAGCAGAAAGAAGAGGTGACAGATCTTCACAAAAATCAATTTGTAAAAAGCAAGCTATAACACATTTTATTGTTTAGATCTAAAACAATATCACAGATCAATTTTAACCTGGAGACCATACCAACACAAAAGACCCAGAGGCAGGCCTCCTATGAGATGGACAGATGATCTGAAAAGGACTGCCGGGAAAAATTGGCTACAAGTAGCGTACAATAAAAAACAATGGAAAGGAAGATTTGAAGAGGCTTATGTTCAGATGTGGACGTGAATGGCTAGACGAAGAAGAAGAAGAAGAAGAAGAACACATTTTATTGAATCTATTACTTGCTGCGAAACTCATTATTCCAGGAATAAAACAGTTGTTAGATGATATTGGCCTTATGAACTAAATATATCGAAACTGTGGAAGATCTACAACGAAGGAACATCTAAAAGTAAGACAGTGCTACTTCAGAAATATCTTTGTACGACAATACAACATTGGTTTTGGATCACCAAAAGTTGATGTATGTTCACAATGTCTCCAATTTTCAGAATAAATTAAAAAAGTCACAAACCCACAAGAAAAAATAAAGACAATGACAGAACAGCGCGTACACGAACTGGGTAGTAAAGCATTTTATGAGTTATTAAGAAAAGACAATCGCAGAGCAGTTCAAATGAGATTGTTTCCGTTTTTTATATACATATTGACAAATTTTCATTTTGATGAAGAGGTAGAGAAAGTGCGTTTAGTGGCTGATGTTTGTGGAGGCCAGAATAAGAAAATCACAATGGTTGGAATTGTTCAATACTAAACGATGGAACAAGAACATTATCCCAAAAGAAAGATTTTTTGAAGCAAAGTGTGATAGGTGGCTATAGTTCAATACTAAACAAGGATTATGGCATAATCATCGTTAAATGGGTATATAACAATACAGTTACTGCAGTTCAGAATGGAAAAAGATTTTCTGGGGCAGAAAAAAAATGATTAACATCAGTCGTCTATCAATTAATTATAACCGAATATAACCGATTTATGGAAGGTACCTACTGATTTGTAAGATGAGAATCTTTAAAGATATAGGATCAGACGTAAAAAGTGGTGGTGGGCAATCTTCACATGGTTATTAGATGTTTATATGGTCTTCTTCTTTTTAGGGTGCCTGTCCATTCCGAACGTTGGCGATCATTCTGGCTATGATGACTGTTGGTTGCTATACAAAATAGCTGTGTTGAGGTCTTTCTATACCATGTTTTCAGGTTAGGAAGGCAGGATATTCTTCTTCGTCCTAGGGCCCATTTTCCTTCAATTTTACCCTGTAAAATGCATTGAAGTAGCTCGTATCTGCCTTGATTTCTCATTATATGTCCCAACTACTGCAGCTTAAGGCTCTTCAAGATATTGACCAAATCCGCAGTTGTGTTCATCCTCCGCAGTACTTCTGCGGAGCAGTACTTTTATATGGTAAATGCATGGAATGTTTACAGGAAGACGGAATCTATACCTCAACTAGATTTCAGGAGACAAGAAGTACAAGCATCATCATCATTATGATGCAACCTCTTTTGTCCACTGCTGGACATAGGTCTCTCCATTTTTAGGTCTTGTTTCCATTTCTTGGATATTCGTTTAATGTCGTCCATCCAGCGTGTTGGTGGTCGTCCTCTGCTGCATTTGTCTTCTCTTGGGCGCTAGTCAATTAGTTTTCTGGTTTATCTTAAGTCTTTTAGTCTTGCTATCTGACCTGCCCAATTCCATTTCAGCTTGACTATACTTTCGACGACATCAGTGTTACCTGTTCTTTTCCTTAGGTCTTGGTTCCTTATTTCGTCTTTTTTTGTCACGCCAAGAGTCGATCTTTCAACGCGCCGTTGAGCCACTCGCATTTTTAGTGCTGTTGCTTTTGTGAGAGTGCAAGTTTCGGCTCCCTATGCCAAAATAGAAAGAACGCATTGGTCAAATGTCTTCCGTTTCATAGGCATTGGAATGTTGCTATTAAAGATGTCTTTTAGTGAACCATACGCTGCCCAACCAAGAGTTATTCGTCGTTGAAATTCACAAGTCTGATTATCCTAGCTTATTCTGATTTCATGACCGAGATATATGTACAATGGTGGTGTCAATTCTACCACTTGATTTTGGATGGTTCGATGTTCTCTGGTAACCAAATTTGTCATAAATTTGATCTTAATGATGTATAGTTTTAGACCTATTGTTGAAGATTTGTTTTCTAATTCTTGTATCATTTGTTGTGCTTCACGCAAATCTTCGGTAGTACTATATCGTCGGCAAAACGAATATAATTGACCATATCCCAGTGTATTTTTATTCCAACTTTAGCATTTTAAAGGAGTATTCGAGGACCGTTATACATAATTTAGGTGAGAGAGTGTCGCCCTGTCTCACACCTCGCTTTATATGAAAATCTCTGGTGGTATCGTGTAGTTTTACACGCATTGTGGCGATTTGGTACAATGTTTGTACTAACTTTGTAAGCCGGTAGTCTATTCTACTATTGTTCAGAGCAATTATAATGCTGTCTAATTAACAGAGAGTATTAAAGATAAGTAATCATTAAAGATAAGTAACAATGATCTGTTATATTTCATCGATTTTTCTATTACGGCTTTTACTGTCTGTAGGTGATCGTTTGTTCCGAATTATTATATAATAAATTTAATAAATATTAAATAAGTGGAAGCCAGCTTGTTCTCGGGGCTAGTAGAAATCCTTTTTTTCTAGTCTTGTCGTTATTATTCGGGTAAACATTTTATAGACGTGGTTTAATAATCTGATTGGTCTATATTGTGTAGTAAATTGTTACTGCAATGTTTCATGTTTGCAGTATGCAACAATCTGTTAGACAAAGGTTAAACAAAATTTTTATTTGGTTGAGCAGGGCATGTCCGCCCATCTTTATAGCTTCAATTACGACACCTTGTTCTCCTGATGCTTTGTTGTTTTTTATCTTTTTCATGGCGTCGCGGATTTCGCTTACTGTGATCTCTGGCATGAGCTTTGAAGCCTGGTTGATGATTTTGCGTGATGCAGTAGTCTTCAACTATGGGGACCCCTTCTTTGTTCTTTAGTTTGTGTATTTCACATTGTTTAGCCGTTTTCTCAGGACTTTTAGACTTTTATTCCATTCTATAGTTCGGTGGACCTTTTGATTCTTAAATTTTCTTAAATCTTTCCTTAAAGCTTTTGATACATCTTTATTTATCGTCAATGCTTTCGTTTCCTTTGATTTCTCTTCTAGTTTCTATTAGTTGATTTATTTCAATGGCTATTTTCTCGTCGGTATCTTTTAGGGCAGCATTTTACTTGAGCCTCTCGAATAGCTTCTTTTCGATAAAGAAAAACGAGATTTTCGTTTAGAGTATTTACATTATTTATGCATTCATTTTGTTGTAGGTTTTTATTACAGCATATCGTACCAAA